GGTAAGGGATGCTATTGACTATCCCCAACAACTTAAGCACATTATTACAATTACAGTTATCTGGTGTGATAATCTAGCTGACAATAGTCCTGAATAGTACCAATCATAACCAACAAATGCTACTCAAGTCTTACAGCCAATCGCATTGTAACAAAACTGACCAATCAGTTTTCACAAAACAGAGTTACTTCATTCAACTATGGAGTAACTCTTCACTTGAATCTGATGATGACTTCCAACTAGATTAGCAAAGATTTATTAATAGAAATGGATGTTAGTCTTTTTTTGACTACCTCTGTGCCCTCTCAAGGACAATCACACTACACAAGTGAATTTCACTCCTTGGTCTAAAATGTACTGAATTTAAAAAAAAAAGTATATGAAAAGATTGATTTAAGGTGCTTGTTACATGATTAATAAGGCCAATTGCCCTGTTATAACAGTTAATAAAAATCAATCCTTTAATTGACTAGAATGATATTTAATCGACCAAATTTTGAGGAGTACTTTTATGGAGCAACGCATCTCACAGCTGACACTGTTAACCTTTTAACTCCCAAGATCTGATTGTTAATTCTCCCCTCTTGCTGCTACACATTTCCTTGTAAATTACTTATAAGAATTTGGTCTAAGATCAAGATAACAACTTCTACCTGATAAGTTTGAATATTCTCATTAGCTGTTTGTTGGATAATGTAAGGGTATTAGAGGGAGAAGTTTCATGTTGATCACTTCTGAGAGTTAAAAGGTTAATTAGTTCAGTGAGCATGAAGAATCAGTTTTTGAGGCTTGATAAGTCATAGAATTTATGTCCCTAAATGTACTATTTTAGGTCATGTCCTGGCATTTTACAATCTTGCTGTCATGCATGCATCTGGAACAGGAGTTTTGAGATCTTGTAACACTGCAACAGAGGTAGGTTTTCAGTTAAAGTGTGGAAAGATTAAGGAGTCTATAGAAAAAAATGATTGTTTAAAATGTCTTAACTACATTTCGTTTGTGAACAGAAAATGCTTTCCTAGTCCTGTTTTGTTGTATGAAATTGTTGTGAAGCAAAATCTGTGGATTGCCAGAGACAATATTGTATATAACTGTTGGTTACCAGTCATTTTTCCAGTTTTAGGCAAATGTTTTGGTAATTTATATCTACACCCTAGGAAACAATAACTAAGCCATGCTAAGTATGCTGATAAAAATGAATTGCTCTTCAGGTACATCAAAACATTTATACACCAGATATATCATACCTGCCCCTTTCCTCCCTAGGACCAAGTTATGTTTGTTGTAGACTGCCATATACACAGAGTTTTGGTGAAGGACATAATTAATTACATTGTTCTGGGTGTGGGTTATCTTTTCCCAAACAGCTTTTCAAGAATGTTGCAGAGCGCGGAAGGATAGCACAGATGTTAATGGAAGCACACGAGGCATACCGAGCTGGTAATATAGATACTGCCCTGCTGAAGTATGCTTTGCTCGCAGAACTGGGATATGAAGTTGCACAAAGCAATGTAGCCTACATTCTTGACCATGGTAAGCTTTTTGTTTTGTAATCCACCATGTTGTGTAGAGTATGGAAGTCAGTACTGTGGATATCATTATGAAAAGACATACATTTAAGCTCTGAAACAGCAGTCTACTATATCAGACTGGCTTCTCTATAATAACAAAATTCATAGCCAGTGTTAAATCTTGGCTACATACACTGTACATGACTGAGGGTCCTGCTTCCATTTGTGGTTTCTGAGTAGTGCTTAATGGTAGAGGTAGGGTATCAAATTTAATGCCCTATTTTCTTTAATACTCAAGGCTCTAAGAAAAAGTCTGGAAGAGGAAAGAATTAAGGGAATTGATATTCAAAGGAAGGATAGTCTAAATAGAGTTAGTCCTTATGAGATCCCTCTACCATTTTGAACACATGGTTCTGTGTAAAGTTTGGTATTCCCTATCATGGCAGTATCATCATAAACACTTGGATTTTGTGAAAATCTGTAAATATGGTGTGTCTAAACACTGGAGAATTGACTTGGGAAACCTCATGTGGTGAAAAGATAGTAATTGCTTGTATTTGTGACAGGTTTGACTTCAGTGATACTTGAGAATGAAACATTTCCCCGAGCCCTGCTGTACTGGACAAGAGCAGCCTCTCAAGGTAATTAGATTAACTTGGAAGGAAACATTATAATTTTAATTGTAAAGCATCAAAATGCTTGATCAAAAGCTCATTTTGCAGCAGTATTCACAGTACATGGAAGCAATTGAGATTGAGATATAATATCCCTTTGTGTGATGGAAATTATATTTTTGTCAAATTATTTCTCAAGTTGATATTTTGACAACTGATTGCCAAAATGACTGCAAAACAGGCCTTGTGATTGTATGTTTGTTGCTTAATACTTATGTGTGCAAAGTGCACACTTTGGAACAACCTTTGAGGCTGTTAATTTGACAAAACGTACAACATAGTGTTTTGAAGTATTGTTCAACAGTACATTTGAAAACTTCATTTTCTAGTGACCGCTGAATAAAAAAAAAATGAGTGTACTTCTTTCAGTGTTAGTCTTTACTTATTAGGAAGTGATTGAGTAGAAGTAAAACCTTGAAGTGAAGCCTTAGAAGTGATTGACATATGAATTTTTCTCACAATATCAAAACATTAGTAAGGAGTTACTGAGAGTAAATAAACCTGTCTGCTGATGGGTGATGTCTTGATGTAACAACAAATTCTCTTAAATGATTAAGGAGAAAATGAATAGAAGTTTAAAAAGAGAACTACAAATTAGATCTTAGCACTGTAATTACAGGTAGTTGACTGGTTTTTTTTCTTCATTGTCACTGAAAGGAAACACTGCAGCAAGAGTGAAAGTTGGTGATTATCATTACTATGGATATGGAACAGATATTGACTATGAAACAGCAGCATTCCATTACAGATTGGCTTCCGAGCAGCAGCACAACGCACAGGCAATGTTTAATTTGGGCTACATGCACGAGAGGGGACTGGGTATGAGACAGGTAAAGCAACGTTATTTCTGATGGAACACTTAAAAGTGACATGAAATTTGAATGTTGGTCGTGGAAGGTTGTAGAGAATGATTCTTCTCAGAGCAGAAGAGCAAGAAATATCCTGATTTAATGACGGTTACATTATTTTGAAACCCATCTCTTAAGCATACAGCTGAAGTTCATCAGAAGCATCCAAAATTCTTGTAACTTTACAAGTTTGGGTTTGAACCCAAAATCTTCAAAACTTGAGACAAACAAACTTCCGGTTTGTTAAAAGTTATGCTCTCCCTGAAGTTAATTTAAACCCACCGTACAATGAAATTCAGACAACTTTATGTTACTCACTACTGGAAATTTAAAGGTTGAAAAGGTATGTAACTAAAGGGTCTAAATTATTTGTTAAATATCAATGACTTGTGTCATTTTTTTCTGTCAGGACATTCATCTTGCCAAAAGGTTTTATGACATGGCAGCTCAGACCAGCCCTGATGCCCAGGCTCCTGTCTCTCTTGCTCTGCTGAAGCTAGGCGTGTTTTTTACTTGGGAGTGGATTCAAGAGGTATCAGAGGAAATTGCCTCTAAAAGCTTTAAATTCACCTCCCACATCTGTTTTCAGAATTTCGCCTTTTCACGTTTATAAATTTTTTCTACAAAGTTACCGGCATTGATAGCTTTCACGAAGCTTCTCCCAGATACTTTGAAAAATAGATTAAACAGAATTGAGAGATGTAAAATGTACATACATCGTTCAAAAGATCACAGAATAGCCCTAGAACGGGTAGAAAATGGACGGAATGTCGAGAGGAAAATAGGATAATTAAAGTGGACTCAAATTTCCGCTTTTGTTTCCCATGACAACCGTCAAGCGTTGTTCCCCTGCTACATTGCTTGTCTCCTCTGACCGAGAGAGCCTGGCACAGCCAACCATTATTACGAAGAGGTTGTGATTGACTGGGCCAGACTAATCTTTGAGATATTCAAATTAACGTCTCTCTTAATAGTTCTTCCTTTTTATCGTTTGTTTTTCAGAATTACGGATCATTGAACTTGTCAAAGTTTACCAACTTTATTGGCGATGACTGGGATATTTATGCAATGACAGGACTTGCCCTCCTGTTTGGAATTCTTCTTCTACTTCGAAGGAGACAATAAACATCTTTTGTAGAATTTGTACAGTAACCGTAGCTTGTATGACTTTGCAAACAATTTTTGATTTTAAGCATAATAAAATATTCCGGTTTCTTGTGGTTGGGTGAGTTTTACATTTGGGTTTCTATTTGCCGTAAAGGGCTAAGCTAAGGATGGAAAAGATTTACATCGACGAAAAACTGAGATTTCAGACACTCAAGGCAGGATTTACAAGCTGGATCATCTCTCGTTTAATTCCTTTTTAACCAAGAGATCCTTTGAATTTTATGCCATCGCAATTCAATTGTTTCAGTTATCCTTCAATTTTTAACAGTTTCCGAGAACTAGTTCTTAATTTTCTTTTACAGAAACACTGCATGACCATTTGAAATTTTTAGCTGAGAATTTCCCATCAGAACAACTTAATTGCAGTTTTTTCTTTTACAAAATTGTTTATTTTCCTTTGTTTCAAACTCATTATCGTACATTCATGCAAACTCGAACTACGAGGGAACTTAATTATGATGCGCAAGAAACATTTGACCAAAATATTTTTATCCTCATTTACAACAAGAAAAAGGTAGCGAAAGGTTTACTTCTGAGCGCCGTTTTGTCGTCTGTTAGTCATTAAATCAGTCACAATAGCTTCAAAGTCGTGTATGAAGCTACATCAACTAGTTGTATCATTGTTCACCTTTTTGCTACGTAATCACTGGTGTTCAACTCGAAAAATTAAAATGTGCAGGTACTAAAAGCTCATCTTACTACCAGGGATTTTCATGACATACTTGTTTGAAAAAATCACAGAATAAAATTGTACAAGGATCGCGAATTGCGCTCTAAATCAGCGCCTTGTACTTGTCTACATAGAAAAGTCAATCCATATGTAAATGATCAAGTGACGGAACACTGTTCTCATTTCTTTAGCATTGTTCGATGTCTTCCTCAAATTCAAGCGTAACGTCATCACCAATGATCACAAATGGAGCCCAGTTCTTTGGAGCACTAAACTCCTCGGATTCTCTCAGGCATTTCATAGCTTTATGGAGAGCCGTACTAGCATTGTTGCCATCCCTGAGATGTTTATAGAATATTTTCATGAACTCCATTGTGGCCTCGTCACCAATTGCCCAGAGTGACGCCAGAACAGAGCGGGCACCAGAAGCCAAGAGAGCCCATGCCATACCAACCACGCCTTCGGCAGAAACGTCCCCTCGACCACTGTGACAAGAGCTAAGCACGACAAGTCTTGCTCGAAGCTTCAGAGCTTTGATATCTGACATTTTCAGCATGTAGTCTTCCTTCTCCGGTTTCCGGTACTTCCTTGAAGGATTTGGGGCCAAACAAATGTCACCTGTCTCCGCGCTTCCATGCGTGGCGATGTGGACCAAAGCGACAGAAGCAATACGTTTCAGTACTTCGTCTTTAGTCGCTTCCTTTCCGACGAGTGGTGTGGCATTAATAATTTCTCCGATCATTTGCACTTCCTTTTCCGCGTGAGGCAATGGCTGAAACCAAGGTATTCCAAGGAGATCTGTTATCTCCTCGAAACATGGATTACCCACAAGCAGCGCACCACTCTTACAATGGTAGTTTTCAGGACAATCTTTGATTAGTTTCAAAGTGGTCAGCGACGGAGCGATGCGAATCTTAAACGTTTCACTGAGGTACTTGGAATCTTTATCGACGAAGGCAGCAAAGGGAACCAGACCTAGTAGACCATCGGGAACAATGAGTAATTCATCGCCTTTCAACTCGTTTGCGATGGGACCAATAACAGTGTCATACAACAGTCGCAAGGAATTCCTCTGACTTTGTGGTGACTTCAACATTTCGTGACAAGTTTCTTTGTCCAGTGGCGATTCCTCTCTAGGCACATCCAGACGAAAGCGGTCCTCTGACAGTAACGCCGACGTTTCATGACAAGAGTCTTCGTCTTGCTCCAACAGATCCGGCCTCAATGCATCCATAGAACGATCCTCGCAGAAAACTCGAGCGGCAAACTCATTCTCTTTGAAAGCTGCTTTTTTCAAACATTTTAAACAGCAGGGACAGGGATCATTCCCGAACTTGTAGTCGTGTTTTGCTTCCTTTCGTCGAAATTGAACATCGTTCCCGTTACTGACCAGCCATATATTAATCGTCTCTTTTACAAGTGAAATGAAAATTGTTTGTGTGGAAACCAAAGGTGCTACGTTAGGTTCTGATGTCCTGGGCGGAGGAAATTCCATCTGATATTTTTGCTTCATGTAATCTAGTAAGACCTGTGCTCTTCCTTGATCAACAACACACAAAGCCTCGCCAAAGTTTGAAAGTTTCAGCAAAGTTCTGCTCAGGGAATCGTACTCAATCTGACGAGCATTTCGTATGCATATTTTGTGAGCATCTTCAACCTTGATAATGTCCCTCTCATCATTTACAAGCTTTAAAGCGGACCGATAATGATCCAAGGCTTCATGTAGGAGATTGAAGCTTTCCATAATACGGCCAAGGATATAATTCGCCACTCTCTCGCCACATTTGTTTCCTTTTTCTTTTGCAAAGGCAAGACTTTTCATACCGTAGTTAGCAGCTTCCTTGAAATTATTGAGTCCAAGATAGGCCTCACCCAAATTGTGGTAGGCACATCCTTTTGTCTCTACTACCTCCTCTTCTTTAGCAATGCTAAGAAATTGGCCGAAGAATTCGATGGCTTGCATGAAATCTTTTCGCAGCAGATGAGCCCGACCAAGACCGAAATAGGAGTCTGCTTCTGCTTTCTTATTCTTGATTTCTTTAGCCATGGCAAGTTCTATGTCATAGTACTCTTTGGCTGTGCTAAACTTACCAAGGATGTTATAAACACTCCCAAGGTTGCTGTAAGCGTTTAGTTCACCATTGCGGTCCCCTACGTCTTTGGCGATGGCAAGTCGTTGCATTCGGTTCTCTATTGCTTTCTCATAATCTTCGACATATCGATAAATAACAGCAAGGAGCTCTTTAGCTTTTCCTTCCTCAACTTTATTCCCAGTATTTTTGGCAATGATCTCACTTTGCTCCACGTACTCCATGGCTTGTTTATAATCACCGAGGACGAGATAACAACCTCCAAGGTCAAGGTTTGCACGTCCCTCTCCCGCTCTGTCCCCAAGTTCTTTTGAGATAACAAGGTACTTGTTGTAGTGTTCGATGGCTTGTTTATAATCACTGAGTGCATCATAGCATTGGCCAAGGTGGTGGTTTGCATGTCCCTCTCCATCTCGGTCTCCTAGTTCTTTGGAGATAACAAGGTACTTGTTGTGGTGTTCTACGGCTCCTTTATAATCACTGAGTGCATGATAGCATTGGCCAAGGTCGTGGTTTGCACGTCCCTCTCCATCTCGGTCTCCTAGTTCTTTGGAGATAACAAGGTACTTGTTGTGGTGTTCTACGGCTTGTTTATAATCACTGAGTGCATGATAGCATTGGCCAAGGTGGTGGTTTGCATGTCCCTCTCCATCTCGGTCTCCTAGTTCTTTGGAGATAACAAGGTACTTGTTGTGGTGTTCTACGGCTTGTTTATAATCACTGAGTTTATAATAGCATTGGCCAAGGTTGTGGTTTGCATGTCCCTCTCCATCTCGGTCTCCTAGTTCTTTGGAGATAACAAGGTACTTGTTGTGGTGTTCTACGGCTTGTTTATAATCACTGAGTGCATGATAGCATTGGCCAAGGTCGTGGTTTGCATGTCCCTCTCCATTTCGGTCTCCTAGTTCTTTGGAGATAACAAGGTACTTGTTGTGGTGTTCTACGGCTTGTTTATAATCACTGAGTGCATGATAGCATTGGCCAAGGTGGCGGTTTGCATGTCCCTCTCCATCTCGGTCTCCTAGTTCTTTGGAGATAACAAGGTACTTGTTGTGGTGTTCTACGGCTTGTTTATAATCACTGAGTTTATTATAGCATTGGCCAAGGTTGAGGTTTACATGTCCCTCTCCACCTCGGTCTCCTAGTTCTTTGGAGATAACAAGGTACTTGTTGTGGTGTTCTACGGCTTGTTTATAATCACTGAGTGCATGATAGCATTCGCCAAGGTGGCGGTTTGCATGTCCCTCTCCATGTCGGTCTCCTAGTTCTTTGGAGATAACAAGGTACTTGTTGTGGTGTTCTACGGCTTGTTTATAATCACTGAGTGCATGATAGCATTGGCCAAGGTGGTGGTTTGCACGTCCCTCTCCATCTCGGTCTCCTAGTTCTTTGGAGATAACAAGGTACTTGTTGTGGTGTTCTACGGCTTGTTTATAATCACTGAGTGCATGATAGCATTCGCCAAGGTGGCGGTTTGCATGTCCCTCTCCATGTCGGTCTCCTAGTTCTTTGGAGATAACAAGGTACTTGTTGTGGTGTTCTACGGCTTGTTTATAATCACTGAGTGCATGATAGCAATGGCCAAGGTTGTGGTTTGCAAGTCCCTCTCCATTTCGGTCTCCTAGTTCTTTGGAGATAACAAGGTACTTGTTGTGGTGTTCTACGGCTTGTTTATAATCACTGAGTGCATGATAGCAATGGCCAAGGTCGTGGTTTGCATGTCCCTCTCCACCTCGGTCTCCTAGTTCTTTGGAGATAACAAGGTACTTGTTGTGGTGTTCTACGGCTTGTTTATAATCACTGAGTGCATGATAGCATTGGCCAAGGTCGTGGTTTGCACGTCCCTCTCCATCTCGGTCTCCTAGTTCTTTGGAGATAACAAGGTACTTGTTGTGGTGTTCTACGGCTTGTTTATAATCACTGAGTTCATAATAGTATCGGCCAAGGTCGGCGTTTGCATGTCCCTCTCCATATCGGTCTCCTAGTTCTTTAGAGATAACAAGGTACTTGTTGTAGTGTTGTTCTACGGCTTGTTTATAATCACTGAGTTCATTATAGCAATGGCCAAGGTGGTGGTTTGCATGTCCCTCTCCATCTCGGTCTCCTAGTTCTTTAGAGATAACAAGGTACTTGTTGTGGTGTTCTACGGCTTGTTTATAATCACTGAGTGCATGATAGCATTCGCCAAGGTGGCGGTTTGCATGTCCCTCTTCATGTCGGTCTCCTAGTTCTTTGGAGATAACAAGGTACTTGTTGTGGTGTTCTACGGCTTGTTTATAATCACTGAGTGCATGATAGCATTGGCCAAGGTTGTGGTTTGCACGTCCCTCTCCATTTCGGTCTCCTAGTTCTTTGGAGATAACAAGGTACTTGTTGTGGTGTTCTACGGCTTGTTTATAACCACTGAGTGCATGATAGCAATGGCCAAGGTCGAGGTTTGCATGTCTCTCTCCATTTTGGTCTCCTAGTTCTTTGGAGATAACAAGGTACTTGTTAAAGTGTTCTACGGCTTGTTTATAATCACTGAGTGCATGATAGCATTCGCCAAGGTTGTGGTTTGCACTTCCCTCTCCATCTCGGTCTCCCAGTTCTCTGGAGATAACAAGGTACTTGTTGTGGCGTTCTACGGCTTGTTTATAATCACCGAGTGTATAATAGCATTGGCCAAGGTCGTGGTTGGAGGACTTTTTTTCTGCCATGTTTCAATGTGCTTCTTGTCTAGTATAAAACTAAGAGTAAAAATATGACAAAGTATGGTGAGTACGTTTTTGGAACAGATATCAACTTTTCCATAAAATTTGCCCACAGCAAGGCTAGCGTTAGTCTATTAACGTGACTCAAGATAATAACGCGGGGGGTAGAAACTGCTGTTGAAAATTTGAAAACTCCGATTACTGCAAAGAGAGGCAGCATCGTTAAAGCGGAACTGACAAAAATCATAATGATGGAGGGATACAAAATAAAACTAATAATTTAATTACATATGTTATCACGTGTGGTGTGAATAATTAATTCGGTCAAATTCTACTCGTCTACTTACGATCGGTGCTCTCACGTAGAAACGTAATGTAAAATGATATGGTATATAAGTATCCAGTGGAGCCTTAAGCTTCCTGATCATGCCGTGGATCGTCGAAAGCTCGAAGCCTTTTTTAATATTTTGTCATCATTTTTTTTATTTTTACAGTAGCTCAAAACCTCACTGGAAACTCCTATTACAACCATTTTAAAATTCTTCTGAAGGACAACATGAAATGATCAATACTGAATGTCATAAATTATGTAATTATGACGTCACGGTGTGCGCGATGTTCTTCTGAGATTCACAAATAAAGAAAACAGGTTTCTTGACCATCGTGATACTACGTCGTTATTACAACAATAGTTGTAACATTGGTGCCGTGACTAGGATGACAGAAGATATAAACAAAATGAAATCGATCCGAGCAGCCTACAAAGGACACTGTACACAAGATTTTAAAAAGGCAGAAAAACTCATAACTTCAAAGAGTTCAGATCACGCTGAATTGGAGGCACTCGTGGACAGACTCACACGAAGAGCTGGGGAAATAGCGCAGATGGATGCTAAAATTGTGATGTCTTTGGAGACAGAGGAAGACATTCTAAAAGACACAGAATCAGCCCTATTGTTTCAAGACAATATATCGGACTGGCAATTCAAAATTGAACAATTTCTCAAGAGTAAACAAGAAACACCGGTGAGTCAGTACCATCATAGTAGTTTCAAACAAGCATCAACGCCTCGAATGCATATCAATTTACCCAAGATAAACATCAAATCCTCTGGAGGAGATCCACTTGAATGGCTCACATTCTGGGATAGCTTTAGTGCAGCTATCGATAAAAATCTTGAACTAAGTGATGTTGAAAAAATGGATTATCTAAATGGAATGCTTAAAGGAGAAGCAGCGCGCGCTATCTCCGGGCTGCCATTGACTGAAGAAAATTATAGAAAGGCAACTGAGCTATTAAAAGAGCGCTTTGGCAAAACCCAAAATTTGACCAACTCTTACATGGAATCATTAGCCAAGATCCACGCGCCATCAAGTGACACAAAAAAATTAGGGGAATTTGACTATTTGTGCGGAGCCAATATTCGTGGCTTAGAAACACTTGGAGTAATGACCGAGTCATATGGAAGTTTGCTAATTCCCATACTCCTAAAGAAAATACCCGAAGACAAACGCCGCTTAATATTCAAAGCGGATCCTTTGGCAGATAGCTCCCTGGATAGATAGAGGGTAGCTATGCGACAAGAAATTGAAACACGAGAGAAAGGCCACATATCCTCTCTAGAAGATTCCACATCTGCTGCCTTAGACGAAGAATTATTCGTACCAACCGCTGGCGCTCTACTAACCAATGCTCAGCAAAAACAAAGATTTCTCAACGGAAAACCGAAAGTATCACGACCATGCACTTACGGCGCGGAAACACACCGCCCAGAGAAATGTGACAAAATTACATCAGTAGAGGAACGGCGATCTATCCTTCAACGCCAACAAAGATGTCTCAACTGACTCAAACACACGAAAATTCAATGCTACTCAAAAGGTCGATGTGTGAAATGTAAGAAGAAACACCATACTTCAATTTGCAAAGAAAAACAAGAAAATCCAACACAAAGCTCATCATATCAAATGAAAGAAAACAAAAATTCAAATAGTAGTCAGTCACCTACAAATACCATAGCGAAGAACTCAACCCACATAGGAGCAACGCATTCCTTTCATCCTACAAATCATATCCTGATGCAATCCGCCATCACAAAGATAAGAGCCGGTAAACAATATCGTCAAGCTCGCATCCTGTTCGATACGGGATCACAAAGAACCTTTATTAATCTGGCCTAGATTCTTGTGGCTAAAAGACATAAACAAATCCGTTAACAGTGCGGATAATTTGGAAGCTTGCAGATTTTGCCGCGTTCTATTTGGAGCAGCGCCCTCAACCCTCTCTACTAAACGCAACAATACGATATCACCTCAACGAAAAAGATAACTGGATAACGAAGGACTTAACAGAGAACATGTATATGGACAATGTGGTCACAGGAACTAATTGCGACGATAAAGCCTTAGAATATTATTCTTTGTCGCGAAGTTATCTACAAGAAGCAGGCGTGGATCTTCGACAGTGGACCTCTAATTCAACCGCTTTAAATCGCAGAGCACAAGAAAATAATGCATATGCAGCTCAAACGACAAAAATCCTAGAACTGACGTGGAATTCAACAAATGACATGCTATCACTTTCACTCGAAAAAATGATCAGAAAATCAGAAGCTATCACAAAACTTACTAAGAGATCCACGATCAGCTTTGAGTCAAAATTGTTTGACCCCCTGGGATATGTTGAACCCATTACAGTTAAAGCAAAGATCATGATCCAGGATCTATGGAAACAAAACTTAAGCTGGGATGAGGATGTTCCAAGCGAACATAAGGACCAATGGCTAAACTGGATCAGGGATATCAGCAATTTGACATCGATTGAAATACCCAGACCATACTTCCTCACAAGCATTTCTAAAAGACAACTTCATATATTCTGTGACAGCAGTCAACTAGCTTACGGAGCAGTAGCTTACCTAAGAGGAATGTCAGGAGCTGAAATATACACTGCGTTCACAATGGCTAAAACCAGAGTTGCACCCATTAAAACACAGACCGTTCTACAACGCAGGTCCTCTTTATGTTCGCGACCAAGGAAATCAAACTTCATCTAAAGTTTATATTTGTCTATTCACTTGTGCCGCTGTACGAGCCTTACATCTCGAGTTAGTGGAAGATCAGACAACCCAGGCCTTTCTTAGGGCATTCAGAAGATTTATCAGTCGACGAGGAGTTCCCGAATGTATCATTTCTGACAATGCAAAAACCTTCAAAGCTGGAGCTCAAGAACTCCAAACGATGAAAAACCAAGTCCTCAAGCCAAATGCATCACAACAGTTCCTCGCCAACCATAACATCACATGGAAATTCATAACAGAACGAGCCCCGTGGTGGGGAGGATTCTACGAAAGACTTGTTGGACTAGTGAAAAGATGTCTAAAAAATACTTTAGGCAAAGCCTATCTGAACATGATTAAACTCAGTAAACACAATACTCATTGAGGTAGAGGCAGTGTTAAACAGCCGTCCTTTGACATATCCTTACGTGGATATTAACGATGCCTCTCCTTTGACCCCATCACATTTCTTATGTGGACACCGTCTTCTGACATTACCAGACACAAGGGTTAGCGTCAAAGAATCAGATCCAGACTATATCCCAACTGATATTTCAACAAAAGAGCTAACGAAGAGAGCAAAGTATCACGAGATAATGATACAGGCCTTCTGGACTCGATGGCAAAAGGAATATTTGACAAGTCTGCGTGAATATAACTCTTATCAAAAGAAAACATCAAACAAGACAGCAGTTGCTTTAGGAGACGTTGTTCTCATACATGAAATGTACCACGTAATCAGTGGAAAATAGGTGTCGTTACTGATTTACATAAAGGGAAAGACGGATTAGTCAGATCTGTATCTTTAAGAATAAGCTCTGGTAGTGAACTATTAAGACCTAGAGAGAAGCTTTATCCACTGGAAGTGTCGAGCGAGAACAGTGCACAAGGTATTGAAAAGGAAGACAAAGAAGCTATAGCCGATAAACAACGTCCCCCAGTACGACTTGCCGCTCAGAAGGCAATTCATAGAATCCGGGAACAATCAGAAATGAATACTTGACATGAACGATATCAGATTCATTACGATTCTATTATTAAACATTTATCCTTTGCTAATCATTCCATACTGTTTCTTATCTATTCGGCCCGGGAGAGTGTCATAAATTATGTAATTATGAAGTCACAATGTGCGCGATGTTCTGAGATTTACAAAGAAAGAAAACAGGTTTCTTGACCACCGTGATATTACGTCTTTACTATAGTTGTAACACTGAATCAGTTTTCTAGTTATTACTTACCAAGAATTGAATGCCTTGAAATAAAATTCCGGTCGGAGAGCTGCTTCCTCTGAATTTTAACTCGGACCAGTCAACAATAAATCCACCAGTCACAGATTCAATACAGCTTCTTCTCGCGTTATCACCATTTTATAATGTCGATGTCGGAAAATGAAAGACTTAGTTTTGTCTAAAAAAGACATATTTCCTTATTCGCATAGGCTTATTTTCATATTTTAATTTCAGTTTCTTACCGATAGCGTTTCCTGATACGATTGTAATGATTTTATTATAAAACGTGTTCTTTCATGTTTATTAATGGCTCCAGCTTTTGCATTGCACAAGTTGGAGTATTTTCAAGATCTTCAAGTTCAAGTTTAGGAATTTCGGCCTGACAATTCTCGCTCTCGTGCAACTACAACCAGAAAATGTTCATACGTATAATAGAAACTAGGAAAAAAATGATAGAACTAGGAAACTTTACTGAGCAAAAGAATCAAGTTTTACACCGGCGAGTCATATGTTTTTTATGTATAGAAATGAGATAGTTCCCTTCACTTTCAATTGTCGTGATGGAGCGAAAGACAAATTTAATGGCACGTGGTTTGATCACTACGAAAACTGAATAACGCGGGTAAAATTTCCAGAAAATGGAAATTTAAATTTCTTGCTCGAAGGAGGAAATGTGGAATGTTAAAACTTTTCGTAAGTTGTTACAGTATCCTCCACAACCCAACCCCATCTTTTTGTTTCTCCTGTTTTGCCTTTCACAAAGTGATGACAAACAACTCCGATCCTCAGAAATGATTGCCATGTAAATTCTCTCGGTAATACTTATACGTTAACTAGCAAAAACGTGACGAGAAGAAACACTTTCATCAGCCTAACGATGTTCTCTTGATCAGACACCAAATTCTTGATGCGTGATTTACAAGGATTTTGTGATAGCTAGAAAGGAGAATTCAAATCAAATCAAGCAAAAGTGTTCAGAGAGTTCTAATTCGACGACTTCATGAGCTGCTTGTAAAACGCTTATAAATTGTGACGGACAAATACGTCACAGAAATCCTTAAAATAGGGTTTGGACCGGGTGCTCTTATAAAATCAGATTGTTCGGGAAGCTTATTTTCATTTTCAATTGGATTCAAAACACAAAGCCTATTTTTTATCAGATCGAGATTGAACACTTTTAAGCAAAATTCTTAAGGGTCGAGTAACAGTTTGACTACAGGCAACAATCAAGCAAACTAAAAAAAAGCATCCTTTTCCCACAAACAAAAATAAAATAAAAAACAAATCATTTCGGCCTCAGGACTTCCTATTAAAAGTGGAATTTCAGTTTGTTGAGATATGCTGGCCGTGTGATTAGCGTGACATATTCATTTTAAAAAGTGGAATACGTGATTTCATTTCTAAAAAATTCGTTCGTCTTCTTATTTAGGGAAAAACACACCACTTCCTAAATTTCAGTTTTTCTCAGAAGTTCCTGTTAACAGGAACAGGATCTCATAGTATGACGAGAGCTAATTAGAGGCACCATTACGTAATTTTAAACACATAATTCAACGACAAGCAACCATTCATTTGCTTCAAAATGTACACTGAAAATAGTGGGAATTTAGTTACGGATGAATTGTTTTCATAATGACACCTTGACTATCACATTGAAATAACAAATGCATTTCATTTCAAACAATGCCTTCAATAATCTTTCTTTCAGTTTCTCACAATGGTTCCTGTCAGCACCAAAAACATTCTAATACAATCGGTTATTTTGGAAAAATGAAAATTGCGTGCGGGGCTACATCCAGATTGAAACTTCGTGTTTCAACATCACTATTGGTGGGTACGTTTTTTTTTTTTTTAATCCCCTCACTCGATAGTCTGTGTAAAAAAAAAAAGATTGATATAAAATTTGACGTCGTTTTCAAGGTCATCGACCATCTACCCCTGTATAAAGATTGGAACAAACAGGAGTTATAGTTGTTCATTGTTGTGAGTTGCACAAAGTGTTACCACTTTTGTCACGATGTGTTCTCTTATAACGTCAACCGTAATGTTTTAACTGCTTACTGCTGGTCCTAATCGGGCGATAGAGTGAAAATAATATCTTCGGTTCAAAACGTTTTCTTAGAAACGCTTCTACTAAATAAAAACTTCTCTTAGTGAGAGTATCGCGTGACATCATAAAGAACGCTTACCGAGGGCACCAGCCCAAAACCACCCGTTTTTTTTTCTTTCTTTTGAGGTAAAAATGGACGCTTTGATCAAGCAATTAATTACAGAT